GACAGGCTCCAAAACCACAGAGAAACCCTGTCTCAAAAAACCAAAAAACAAAAACAAAAACAAAACAAAACAACAACAAAAAAAAAAACAGAGACCTTGTGTCCAAAACACGAAAAGAAAAATGTACATGTCCAATAATAGATTAGGTTTGAAAAGATGATAAAATGTATTGCATAGGATGGGGTCAGTGAGCAAGGTACCTGCTATGCAAGCACGAGGACCTGAGCTTAAACCCCTGAAACCCAGGAAAAGCTGGGCCTATTATCTTACATCTATAATCCCAATGCTTCAGTGGTAAGACGGTAGACAGAGACAGGAAGGTCCCAGAAGTCCATGGCTAGCTTGGTACATGCAGTGGCAACACCTGAGAAACCCTGCCTCAAACACGGTAGAAGGCAAGACTAACATCTGAGTTTGTCCTCAGATTTCCATTTGTGACACACACACACACACACACACACACACACACACACAGGCTAACGTGTGCATATGAATCCACACACCAGATCAGCTCCCACCATACTGGTTGGCGTTGAAGCAATAGAATCTGGATGTGTTTACTCATGCCAAAGTTCCCAGTCCAGTTCATCCTGCCATCACTGCCACAGAGTTTGCTATCTTTTTTTTTTTTTTTGTAGGATCTCATTATGTAGCCCCAGCTGTTTGTCCTAGAACTCGCTCTGTAGACCAGGCTGGCCTGGCCTCAAACTCAGAGAGTCACCCGCCTCTGCCTCCCAAGCGCTGGGATTAAAGGCGTGCGCCACTGCTGCCACTGCCACCTAGCAAATATTTCAAGTGTGTTTCCCCTGAGCTATTTTTTTTTTCAAATAAAAATCTAGAATTCTAATTTCTCTTAAAAATAGGAAGATAAGCCAGGCGGTGGTGGCGCATGCCTTTAATCCCAGCACTCGGGAGGCAGAGGCAGGTGGATCTCTGAGTTAGAGGCCAGCCTGGTCTACAGAGTGAGTTCCAGGACAGCCAGAGCTACACAGAGAAACCCTGTCTCAAAAACCAAACAAACAAAAAAGAATAGGAATATATAGGCTATTGGAACCCCATCTCCAGGAGGAAAAATGAACTCAAGCGCTCCTTCTCACCCTACATTGGTCTTGACTCACCCATGTCATCTAACCTGCCTGTAACTGCACTCAGTTTGCAACCTCTGATTCACAGATGGAATCAGGGGCCTTTTCCACCACTCCTACGCCAGCATAATGTGGTCAAGCTCTAGTCTTCCTCTGCTTGAAACAGCAAACTCCCACAGAATGTCTTCGGCACCACCTGTCCCCTGCTCGCTCCCTGCCGCTCGCTCCATTCGTCCATCACACATTCACGGAACCTGTTTCGTTCCAGAGACTTCTTTAGACATTTGGGATGCAGATGGGAACTAGGCAGGGTTGGCCCATCCCAAGCAAGGACAGCCTTTTCTGGGTCAGTCCTGTCAGGTTTCCTGACCACCACTCTGCCAGCCAGTGGCTGTGTTTTCCCACAAACAAAGGTGTATTCATTCCTTTCCTTATGCTGCCTTTCTGTCTATTCTGTTGGTGTTCTCTTTGGACTCCCTCCAGCTCACACCAGCCTGAAAGGCTGCTTGGCGTGCGGAAAGAGGACAAGACGGGAGGTGTGCAAGTTACTTCTCCACGGGGACCTAGTCTGCCTGGCCAAGGGACGTCTAACAAATCCTTTAACCTTTATAGTCTCCTCATCTATAAAATAAGGACAAGAGGGCATCCTCACAGTATTGTAACAAGAATTGAGTAATAGGGTCAATTTGAGAGGTTTCGTTTATGGGTGGGGTAGCTTAGGTCTGCAATCCTTGAACTCCGGAGGCTGAAGCGGAAGGATTGCTGTGAGTTTGAGGCCTGCCTCAGCTACGTGGTGAGTAAGTAGTCCAGTGGGGACCATATACTACTACTCTGCCTCACGATAGCCAAAGGAGGGGCTGGCGCTGTAGATTAGCGCGGTAGAATGCCTGCTTTTCAGTAGTCCTGAGTTCAATCCAGGGCACTGCCTAAACCAGGTATGGAAGTACCTGTGCCTGTGATTCCTGCTCTCAGGAAGTGGAAGCTGGAGTTCAAGGTCATCCACGGCCTTGTGAAGAGTTTAAGGCCACATCTACCTCCTCCTCCTCCTTTCATTTCTCCTCTGCCTCCAGGACAGGGTTTCTCTGTGTAGTCCTGGCTGTCCTGGAACTCGCGCTGTAGACCAGACTGGCCTCAAACTCACAGAGATCTGCCTGCCTCTGCTTCCCGAGTGCTGGGATTAAATGGTTGCCTTCTTGTTTCCTTCAGCTCCAACAGGTCCTCTGCAAACTTCAGGAGGAACAATCCAGGCTCAAGGTCAAGCTGCAGGATCTGCAACAGCTGAAAAAGGGGCTCGTGAACTTTCCCAGAAATGAGGTTAGATGAGAAGTGAGGTATTCCTGGTAGAAAAGGGCTGCTCGGGCTGAGAGATGGCTCAGTGGTTAAGAGCACTGTGGTGCTCTTGCAGAGGTCATAGGTTCGGTTCCTGGCACCTACTGGGGCAGCTCATAACTGCCAGTAACTCCAGGTGCAGGGGATACAACGCCCCCTTCTGGCATTCATGGGTACCTGGACACACACAGACATACATGTATACATGCAACCACCATTTCTTCTTTGCTGTGTGACATCAAGCATGCTGATTGAGCTCTCTGAATCTCAGTTTTCTCATCTATGAGGTGAGGCTACCTACCACCCAGGCTTGTGTGAAGACAAACCAAGAGCTTGTATGAAAAGTGGCGCATATTAATCCCAGCACTTGGGAGGCAGAGGCAGGCAGATCTCTGTGAGTTCGAGACCAGCCTGGTCTACAAGAGCTAGTTCCAGGACAGGCTCCAAAACCACAGAGAAAGAGAAACCCTGTCTCGAAAAAACCAAAAAAAAAAAAAAAAAGAAAAAAAAGAAAGAAAGAAAAGTGGCACATAGGCCAGGCGGTGCTGGCGCATGCCTTTAATCCCAGCACTCCGGAGGCAGAGGCAGGAGAATCTCTGTGAGTTCGAGGCCAGCCTGGACTACAAGAGCTAGTTCCAGGATAGCCAGGAATGTTACACAGAGAAACCTGTCTTAAAAAATGGCTCATGTCTTTAATCCCATCACTCTGGGGGGTGGGAGTGGGGGACGACACAGGGGCAGGCCAGACTCATTTGCAGAGCTAGGTCCAGGACAGCCAACCCTACACAAAGAAACACTGTCTCGAAAAACCAACAGAAAAAAGATAAGCCGGTATGACCTGTTATCACCACACAGCCCAGCTCTTCAGTGAAGACATTCTGCATTGAGCATCCATCAAACAGAACTGGGGGACACATTTTGCTCAGGAGGGAGTGGTGGGGACCTCTCCTAGTCTTGAAGGTTATTAACTTGCCTCTTTCTCCCAACCTCCAGGTCCCATTCCCAGTGCCTGAAGTACCCTTGGTATTCCAAGGCCGCACACAGCAGGGCAGGCAAGCACCCAAGTTTATGGTTTCTAACTTGGAGATCTGCTGCCCTCTGCCTGAAGGTTCTGCTCTGGTCACCTTTGATGACCCCAAAGGTTAGCCTCCTGTGGGAGGGTATCGTCTGGGGGAGGTTCAGGAGGGAGGTCAGGTTTCCCAGGACTGACCCTGTCATTGCCCCCTCCCCTGCCCCCCAGTGGCTGATCAGTTGATACAACAGAAGGATCATAAAATTGACATAGAAGACTTCCGGCTGCGGGTGCAGATCCAGCCCTTGGAGCTGCCTGTGGTGACCAACATCCAGGTGACAGAATGGCAGAGTCCTTTCCCATGCAGTAGTTGGGATTCAGAAGCTGGGTTCTATGGATGAGTGGGCCACCTGCTCTGTCTCCCGCTAGGTATCCAGCCAGCCAGATAACCACAGGGTGCTAGTCAGTGGCTTCCCTGCTGGACTGAAGCTGAGTGAGGAGGAGCTGCTGGACAAATTGGAGATCTTCTTTGGCAAGGCCAAGAATGGAGGTGGGGATGTGGAGACCCGGGAGATGCTGCAAGGGACTGTCATGCTAGGTTTCGCTGATGAGAAAGGTAAGGGTGCTGCAGGGGAGGTCAGGGGGTCAGGGTGGATGAGGCTGGGAAAGGAAAGGCCTTGATGCCGAAGGTCACCTTCCCTGTTCCTCACAGTGGCCCAGCACCTATGCCAGATTGGCCAGTTCACAGTGCCACTGGGCCGGCAGCAGGTCCCTCTGAGAGTCTCTCCCTATGTGAGTGGGGAGATCCAGAAAGCCATGGTAAGTGGTGGGTGGGGCCTGGGAAGCATCTACCTGCCAAACACCTGCCTGGGGAGGTTTCAGGGCCCCCAAACCTCACTGGCCTACACAGCAACCTTCCTGGGCTTCCAGACCCATCCCATGTTTTCATGGGGTACTCCTTGGTCTAACCACTGTGCCCCACTGTCCTGTATTCAAATGAGCCCTTGCCATTTCCTGGCTCTTTTTCTAGATCAAATCCCAGCAAGCGCTTCACTCGGTGCTGGTGACGAATATTCCCGATATCCTGGATGCCCAAGAACTGCATGACATCCTGGAGATCCACTTCCAGAAGCCCACCCGTGGGGGCGGGGAGGTGGAGGCCCTGACAGTTGTACCCCCAGGGCAGCAGGGCCTGGCTGTCTTCTCTTCTATGTCAAGCTAGGACTGCATGAACGACCACCTGCTAGGGACTGAGTTCACATACTGCCTAAAGCTACCAAGAACAGTGAAAGTACCAACCCAGTGTGCTGGTCTTCCTTATGTCAGGAGAGCAGACTCTGTATGTGGAAGGGAGGTCGCGGGAGAGGGCAGAACCCAGATCTCTACAGCAGTGGCTTCCCACTGACACATTCTCCCCTCTTCTTTTCCCCTTGACAGTCAGGGCTTCTCTCTGTAGCCCTGGAAATCGCTCTAGACCAGAGCTCCGCCTGCCTCTGCCTCCTGAGTGGTGCTGGGATTAAAGGTGCAGGCCTCTCCCAGCACTCCTAAAAGCAACATCTGATCAGAACTCAGGGTTTGGCTTTTTATTGACACAAACACAAAGGCAGCTGTGGTAATGGGGTGGGGGGGACACAAAAGCAAACATCGCACTTCCTTCATGGAGGCCTCATTTAGACCACAGGGTGGCTGGGCCCCTCCTCCTCCCTCCCATGGCTGGAGTAACAGCTTTCCCTAGTCAGAACTCAGAAGCAGTTACCCCAACCCAGCCTCAAAGGTCCCCACTTTGGCTCCTACCCCACTAGCTCCCCTGCCCAGGCTCTTCCTCCCCCACCAGTGTAAACAGAGTTTGGGGCTGAGCCTCAGGGATGCTGCTTAGGCTCTAGGAAGGCAGCTGGCTCCCCTGACAGCAAGGGACCCAGCATAAGATCCAGGAGTATCTTCCCAGAACTCTGCTGGTCCAGCCTCCTGCCTCTTTCTTCCCCACCACCGACAGACAGGACAGGGCACAGACCACAGTAAAAGCAGCTTGATCCCCAGAGTCTGGAGCTGCCCCTCCCACCCCTGGCACAGACACAGATTTTTGGCAGTGTTGTAGGGCTGGGGAGGAGTAGGCCTCAGCTCCACCAGCACAGGGAAGGCACCGGGGAGAAGAGAATGGAAAAGGAGCCGGAGACAGGGCCGCCCCTCTCCACACACACAAGCACATGTTTTCCAATGCTAAGGCACTGAGACAAATCCAGAGACCTCAGTGAAGGGGAGGGGTACCCGGTCCCCTCCCAGAGCCATGAGCTACGGAGTTGGTCTGATTCCTGACCTTGCTGGATGGAGGAGGCAGCCTTAGTTAAAGGCAGCAAACTGGAGATGGAAGAAATCCAATTGTGCTTAAGAAACTGGGGGCAGGAGACAAGGCTGGGTACTGATCAAGTCCAGGGGCGGGGACTTGTAGGGTTGCAGGGACACTACGGGGGGGGGGGGGTGACACGGGTGCATGCTGGACTCACACAGATTTAGCCCCACATCCTGAGCTGACCTTTGGATTCTTTGGGGAGGTGGTGGGGCAGGAGGGGAGATGAGGCAGAGGTGGAAGCACACAGGACAGGGAGGGACTGGCTAACCTTGGCACAAAAGCAGCGTGGCAGGCCCAGGGAGAGGGTGGGGGGCAGGAAGCAGCCAGCCTCCTCATGACCCTCCCTGTCCCTTTGGCAGGGCCCAGACATCCAAGTGGTCACTTCCCAACCTCTTCTGAGGGCAGGAAGGGGGAGGGACAGCCCTGAGCAAAGAGCAAGCTCAGAGCAGGGAAGTGGTCCTCAGCAGAGACCTTTGGAGGGAGGGCAGGAGGGAGGGCAGAGCATCATGACAGAGGATGAAATGTGAGAGGCTGGTGGGCAATGCAACAGGGCTTCCCATCTTCACCCTTCCTGGCTCTCAAGGGCCCTGAGCTCCTCGCCCTAGGTCTCCTTCTCGGGTCCGGGGACCAGGAGGACCTTGCCCACATTCTTCTTCTCCTGCATCTGCTTCATGGCATCAGCCACCTGGAAAGGAAGAGAAGACCACTACTGGTGCCATCTGTCCCATCTCACAGAGCCAATCCCAGCTTCTTGGGATCCTCTCCTGAATCACCCAGACCCTTCCCTGAGGCTCCACACTCACCTTCTCGAAGGGCCAGACTGAGTCAATTCGAGGTTTAATGCGGCCCTGATTGTACAGAGCCAGGAGATGGGTAACCACTCTGCTCACCAGTTCCACCTCACCCTCCAGGGAGCCCAGGTAGAAGCCACACACGGCTCGGTTGGCCTGCAGCAACTGCTGAGCTGTTACGCTGAACTGATTCCACCAAGTGCGGGCCATGGCCATCAGGTTCCGCTTGGGGCCAGTCAGCAGGTTGGCCATTCCTAAGGGACAGAGTGGCATGGCCTATGAGCCACGTACAAGCATCCCCGTGCGTCTGAATCCGAGTTTGTCTAGCTCCTCGATCTCGCGACACTCAACACCAGGACTATCCCGGTTACTAGGCACAAACTAACTCTTGCTCTCTGGCAAATATAATGGCAAGTGTCTACAATCCCACTACTCAGGAGGTAGAGGCAGGAGGATCAGGCCGGAGTTCAAGGCCATCCTCAGCTACATAGCAAGTCTGAGGCCAGTCTGGGCTACGTGAGATTTGTCTACACACATGCACATACATGTATGCACGCACTTGTGTACATGCACACTCACACAAAATGAGCCCTTGAGATGGCACCGTGCCGAGCTGGGGACCCACATGGTGGAAGAAGAGAACTGACTCCTGCCAGCTGTCCTCTGAGTTCCACACACGTGCCACAGCAACCACAGGTACACGCACATAAATAAAAAAATTCGCCGGGCGATGGTGGCGCACGCCTTTAATCCCAGTACTCGGGAGGCAGAGACAGGTGGATCTCTGTGAGTTCGAGACCAGCCTGGTCTACAGAGCTAGTTCCAGGACAGGCTCCAAAGCCACAGAGAAACCCTGTCTCGAAAAAACCAAAAAAAAAAAAAAAATTCGACATCCAAGGGCTGGGGAACGTAGCTCAGTTGGTAGACAGCTTGTCTACCCTGTACACTATAAATCAAGAATGTGGTGCAGGCAAGAGCCTCAGCAATTGGGAAGCAGAGGCAAGATGAGAAGTTCAAATTTGTCCTTGACTATGAAGTGGGCTTGAAGATGACTTGGGATACTGAACCCTTGTTTCACAAAAGAAAAGAAGAGCCTGGTGTGGTAGTGCACGCCTTTAATCCCAGCACTCTGGGAGGCAGAGGCAGGTGGATCTCTGTGTGTTTGAACTCAGCCTGGTCTACAAAGTACAAAGCGAGGTTGTTCCAGGACAGCCAGAGTGGTTACACAGAGAAACCCTGTCTCAAAAAAGCCAAGTAATAATAATAATAATAATAAACTGGAGAGAGAGGAAGGTAGACCTCTGAGTTCCAGGCTAGCCAGAGCTACTTAGTGAGACCCTGTGTCAAAAGGGGAGGAGGAAGATGAGATGGGAGATGGAAAGATCACTTTTCACCAGGTATGGTGTTGTGGGAGAGGGAAGAATCGGGAGCCGGTGGCAGAAAGCGAGAGAGCACACACGCTCTCTTCCAAATTCCCCCTCATTTTGATATTTGCCTTTTTGTGTAAAGTGGGTTTTAAAACAAAAACCCAGCTTGCCCAAGAAGCCCAAGTGGCGCTGAGGAAGAAAGCGGACTGGCTGGTTTAGCATGGGAAATAATCCCCAAATAGGAAGGCAAAATTACTATGACTCACAGGAAAAGTTGTGAAAGGGAATGAGAGTGGCTGGCACCCAGAGGCAGCAATCCCATTCATACATCCAGGACCCTTTTAACCCCGACCTCGCCGTAGAGCTGCGGAGCCTCCATCCTTCCTTCTTACCATATTAGTGGGATTTATGTATTAATTAGTCCCACCCTCCCGCCCTGTGCAACCTCACTGCATTTAAGACAACTAACAACTCACCGTAAGTGACAACTTTGCCCATGGGTTTGAGGAGGTGGTAGCCCTTGGCAGTGTCGGATCCACCCAGGGGGTCCATGACTATGTCTACTCCTGTCACAGAGTAAGACCCAGAGGTGACAAACATTAATATCCACAGGTCTGGGGAGACACCCCCACTCTGCCCTGTGCCATCCTCCCGACTCCCGGGCCCTGCCCCCACCTTTGGGGGAGATCTTCTTGATCTCATCCACATAGTCAGTTGTGTGGTAGTCGATGGCATGGGTGACCCCGTTCTCCTTCAGCACCTCGTGCTTGCTGGCCGAGGCTGTTCCAAACACTGTCACGTTCTCCACGGTGCGGCACAACTGCAGGGCTGCCATGCCCACACCACCTGCAGCACGGAGCAGGGACAGAGTCACTGAGCCTCCATTCCACGCTCCAGCCTCCCAAAGACCTAGTCAGTCAGCCCATCACTTTCATTGTGCCTCCTTTTGGGGCCTATGTTCAAATTCCATAATTGAGAACCAGAGAGGAGGAGACTGGACAAGAGAAGGTGTGGGGTGTGGGCACATGGCTAAGGGCAGCAGGCTGAACCTGGTATCCAAATGTTACCACGGCAACTATACTGCAGAGGCCGCTGGGCTCCAGAGGCCAGGCAGCCTGGTGTTACCATGACAACAAACCAGCCAGACTACAGAAAGGGGCCCAGAAGGGAAATCAGGGTGGGGGAAAAAAAAAAAAAAAAAAAAAAAAAAGAAGGGATCTGTTACCTGCAGCCATGTGTACCAAGACGCTGTGGCCAGGCCTTAGGTTGCCGAAGTCAAAGAGAACCATGTAGGCGGTGATATAATTGACCAGAAAAGCAGCAGCTTCCTCAAAGGTCATGGCCTCAGGCATCAGGAAAGTCTGGGCTGATGGCACGGTCACCTCCTCCTGCCACATCCCTGACCGGCTCAAAACCATCACCCGGTCCCCTGCCTTGAAGAAATGGGAGAATATCACTTGATTACCGATTCACTAGCCCACAGGTGACTTACCGGCCTTCACCATGTCCTAGACCACTGAAGATGCAGTAGCAGGAGACACAGCAGCGGTGGTCGTGGGATTAACAATAACAGTGTCATTTACTGAGTGTTTCTCTAGTGTTTCATATGGAAGCGCTCAATCAATCCTTACATCAGTTTTGGGCCATCCTTATCTCTACATAACAGATCATACGCTTCATTATTATGTAAGATCCCTGAACTGCAAGGAACTTCCAGTTAGGGCAAGCATAAGTATTGTTAAAGAGATCAAACTGCTTTGATTACAAAAGTGGGCCCCACCACTTAATGACAATGTGGCCTGGGGCAAACAAAAATTATTTAACCACTTTTCTTATCTTCATAAGGGGAACTGTAAGAATTAAACAAACAAACAAACAAAAATACAACATTCAGAGACACTTAGCACACTATCCTGAGTTAATACCAGTAATGTTAGCTAACAATAATAATAGTAACAACAAGGAGAAATCATCAAGTAACTGAAAAAAGAGGGCTACACATAGCAAGGGCCATGCCAAAATGCAGGTAAGTGTACCTGAGTTGTAAATGGTAAAATGGGGTGACCACCCAAGGGGCAGCTGTATTTCAGCTAACATTGGCCTAAATATTAGAAAAATTTTGCAGGCAGACATGGCACAAAAGGGTGATGCTCAAGAGACAACCCATTCCAGCCACAAGGAAAAGGCGTGGTCTTTCATTCTCAGTCACTTGCAGGAGGGTCTCTCTGCAGGAGGAAAGGGGACAAAGACAGCAACTAGGCAGGAGGAGGGAGGAGTCTCAGTCAGCCTGACTCTAGGAAGACCGTGCAGAGAGCAGTGTGGGAGCTGTCCTAGACAATCAGGGTCTTAGCTACTGCAGGAAATTTAGGATCCACAGGGTGGAAGAATAAGACCTCCTACATAGGCTGTTTTCCAAGTCATCAAGTTCCCATACTGAAGAGGACACCTTTTCTTCTGTGAGTTCTGGCCTGGGGGGTGAGGTCTGGGAAAGAAAGCCCCCAAATTCAAGTCTAGTAGATACAGTAGCAACCCAAGAGAGCTCGCAACAGAGTAATTTCCAGTGGGACTAACAGCCAGTCCCGGATGTAGTCTAGGAAAATGTCACTTGGTCTAGCTCATACCTAACCTTTAGCCCTCCCAGCTCGGGGCCATGACCCCTCCCCAAGGCAGCCACCAGGAGGGTGGAAAAGCTCTCCCCGCAGAATCCAGGCTTTTAACAGCAGATTCTTGCCCTAGGCAGGATATCCTGTATTTACCAGGCGGAAAGTGTGGGGAGGAGTGGGTAGATGGGTGGCCTTCAGCAGTAACTCCAGCTATTAACTTCCCCTTTCACCTCCCCTCCCCCCAAAAATTCCTTTTAGCATCATCCAAGAGTCGGATTATTTCTAAGCCAGGGCAAGGGTGGGACCACAGCTGGATTCATGGAGAAGGATTTTAAGGAGGAGCTGATGCATGTTCAACAAATCCAGCAAACAGCAGGTCAGCAAAGGCCAAGATTCTAAGACTGCTTTGGAGACGCTTCTCCTGAAGGTGCGGGATTTAAAAAGAAACTCCTGAACACATGATATGAAGAGGCGTCACCTCAGATGTCTCAAAAAGCTGGTCATCTGGTAAGTCTCATGTGGCCGAGGTTATGGCTGCGATTAATGATAAATGAGAAACAGACCGGCAAAGCTGGGCCAACCTGCTCAAGGTGCCACACCTCTCCACCCTAGTCCAAATGGGCTCCACCCGCTCGGGTTTCAAAGGCCGGGGTCCTCCGTACCCAAGACGGAGATGGTTTGGACCGGAAGTTCCCAAGAGTAGTCCCGGGTCGTGGCCTGCCCGCTGAGTCACTGGAGACGAGATGGTGTTGCAGTCACGAGAGCCCAAGACAAAGATGGGAGCCCGATCCCGCCCCCCACCCCACCCGCCAAAAACTGAATAGTAGTGTAAGGCCCGTCGGGAGCGAGGGAGCGAAGCTCCTTCTGCTCCATGATGGGTGTGTCCCCTCTGGCCCAGCTCGGGGAGGGGCCGCCATACACCCCCATACACCACGGGGCTGCATGTGACTAGCGCTCTGGCATGGCCTCCTGCACCCCCGCCTAACTCCGTCTAACACAGCTTCTCAAAGCTCCCGCGGGAGGGAAAGCGGGAGCTAGTCACCACTCAACAGTCACAGACCACAACTGCCCGGGGAGTGTTTAGCGGGCAGGGGTACAGGTGTGGTTTTACTAGGGGAGGGGGCGAGCAGGTCATCTTGCGCATGCGCCTGGGCGCCTTATTGTTTTCCGCCCCCTCCCCTCTGTAACTCCGCACGGGGCGGCGGCCACGACTAAAAAATGGTTGGGGAAGGGGTAATAACGCAGTCGCCAGCCCCCAGTAAACCCTTTTTCTCTAAGCCTCAAGACATAAATTGCTTTCCCATGCGTCCCATGTTAGTCCACCCGCGTCCCTGCTGGCTTCCCCGTCCAGACACACCCCCGGCACGCGCCCACTCCTGCCTTGCTACCGCTCACCTTACGGTCGCTGACACCCTCGCCCACGGCCACCACCACGCCCGCGCCCTCTATGCCGGGGGTGACCGGCAGCGGCGGCAGCCGGTCGTGCAGCCCCTGGCGGGCAAAGAGGTCGGAGAAGTTGAGCCCACAGGCTCGCACGCGCAGCGTCAGCTGACCGGGACCCGGGGCCGGGGTCGCCGCCGGCCGGCTCTGCAGCTTCACCTTGTCGTAGCCACCGAAACCGGTGAGTACCAAGCAGCGCAGCGGCGGGGCCGAGGCGATGGCCGACGCTTCGGGGGCCGGGGGCGGCTGCGGGTCGCTCGCCACCTCGGCTGTCGGGGGCTGCGAAGACGCATCCTCCCCGGCCCCGGTCCCGGCCTCGGCCGCCGCCGCTGCAGTGGCCGCCTCGGCTGCGTCCCTCTCGGCCGACATGGTGAGACTCCCGACGTGCACTCCCAGCTGTACAGAAAGGGTGCCCAGCTTGGGAGGGCGGGACACGCGTCAGGAAGAGCGCAGGCTGCGGACACCAGTGGGTGGGGCGGGGCCCTGGGGCGGGGCCCCTGCCCGAGGGTGGAGCTTCGTGCGCGGATTTAAAGGGCTAGGCCCTCTGCTGACCGAGCTGGGAGAGCGCAAAGGGGCTAGCAGTGCTGGTGGTGGAGGGTGGTATATGTGTGTGTGTGACTGATAAGCTTGAGGAGATTCTGGGGCATGGAGAGACGGAGACTTAATTTATTCATAATAAGCCTCATACGATGGGGCTGGAGAGATGGCTCAGTGGTTAGGAGCATTGCCTGCTCTTCCAAGGGTCCTGAGTTCAATTCCCGGCAACCACATGGTGGCTCACAACCATCTGGGATGAGGTCTGGTGCCCTCTTCTGGCCTACAGACATGCACACAGGCAGAATATTGTATACATAATAAATAAATAAATAAATATTAAAAAAAATAAGCCTCATACGAATTAAAAGCTGTCATGGCTCAGTTTGAGGATAATCCAAAAATTTGAGTTTACATCCGATTTGGGGAGCTAGTCAACCTGTGGATCAGAATCCGGAGAAATTGTGCCTCGGGTTCTAACTCTGCCCACTAGTAGTAACCAGATTTCATTCATTGTGGTCTTGCAATGGCAAATTACGCATGTGAACTGATCTTCCAAGACAGGATCTGATTATGTAGCCTTGGCTGCCCTGGAACAGCTGTGTAGAGGAGGCTGGCCTTGAACTTACATAGTTACACCTGTTGCTGTCTCGTGAGTCCTGTAGTTCAAGGCATGCTCCACCACTCTCCTTTTTCTTTCTCACTTTTTTCTTTTTTTAATTAATTAATTTATTTATTATGCATACCATATTCTGTCTGTGTGTATGCCTGAAGGCCAGAAGAGGGCACCAGACCTCATTACAGATGGTTGTGAGCCACCATGTGGTTGCTGGGAATTGAACTCAGGACCTTTGGAAGAGCAGGCAATGCTCTTAACTGCTGAGCCATCTCTCCAGCCCCACTCTCTTTCTTTTGTTGGTATTGAAGATAGAATTCAGATCCTCATGAACGCTAGGCAAGTGCTCCACCCCTGAGCTGTATCTCTAACTTAAACTTAATCGTTTTGGTTGTCAATGCTGTGTGTCTGTTCCCGTTCTGTAAAATAGCGATGCTGTTGTGTTCTCTAGTTATCTTTATAGGGTTATTCAAAACGAGCAAAAATTCAAACGCGCATCCTCTACTTAAGGAATAGCTCTCTCTCTCTCTTTGAGATAGGGTCTCTCTATGCAGCCCTGGCTGTCCTAGAGCTCATCATGCAGAGTCAGCTGGCCTGGGGCTCAGGGCGATCTGTCTGCCTCTGCCACCTAAATGCTGGGATTCAAGTCGTACAATACCACGCCCGGCTAAAGAAAAGCTTCCAAACGGCAAGAGATGCCATGAAAATGGAGGTTTGATTATTGTTAGCATGAGATGAGGCTGAAATTGGCTTCTAGACTAAGGTCTGGCCCCAGCTGAGCTGTCACCAGGTTCTAGCTTCCTTAGTCTTTTCTTTCTCTTTCTACCAAAATGTCCACCAGAGGACGCAAACGCTCCCCTAAAACTTTCCACTCAGTACTTGGCTAGAGGAACTCAGTCCACGCTTCTAGGATGGTCCAGGCCCACAGTTAAGTTGCTGCAGGCTCAGATCCGGCCACCCGTCGCTATGGAGACGGAAAGCTATGATGTCACTAATGTCTGGTGGGAGTGATAGGGGTCGGTACTTCCATTTCCCTAAACCCTGCCTGGACCCGAGAGTGGAGGAGGGAGACAAAAATCAAAAAACCTCCTTTTCCTGATAACTCACGCCCCCCTGTGTTTTGAAAGTAGATGGCTGCCGCCGCGCGTGTCCGCACAAGCACACCTGCGTGCACGCGTGGGCACACAGAAGGCCCAAGCCTCGCGCTGGTGTGTGTAGCTTCGCTCTCTCCCCTACAGAACTCCGCCCCTAGTCTGCTCCAACTCCACTCCTAAGGAACTCAAACCAGCCGGGCTCGCCGGCCGCAATCACCCTCAGGCGCTCCTGGGGTCAAAGCAGCTAGCAGGAGTCGGACTGTGCCCCTCCACCACCTCCCAGGCTCCGCCCCATCCCGGGCCCCGCCCCTCGGCGGTGCGGGTGGGAGGCGGGGCCGGGGGCGCGGCCCGCGGACTAGGGGCGGGGCAGAGGGGGCCCGCAGCCCCGGGCGGGGGCTCGGCGCGGGCCCGCGAGATGCCGGTGTCGGCGGCCCGAGAGGCTGCAGCTGCAGCGGCGGGGGAGGAGGCGATAGAGGCGGCGGCGGGGCCCGGGAGGGGGGCGGTGTGGGGGGCCGGCGCGTAGCCGGGACTATGGAGGGACAGAGCGGCCGCTGCAAGATCGTAGTGGTCGGGGACGCGGAGTGCGGCAAGACAGCGCTGCTGCAGGTGTTCGCCAAGGACGCCTACCCCGGGGTGAGGAACTGGCGTCTGGAGAGAGGGGCACCGAGGCTGCGGAGAGTGGGTGACTGGGGCTCCGGGGGCTCTGGAAACTGGTGCCAGGGTAACCAGGGACGAGAGAAAGAGGCTTCGAGGAGGGTAAAGAGGCGTTGGGGGCTCTGAAAGGACTGCAGAGGATTGGAGTGGAAGGAATCAAGGAACGCGGTGAAATGGATAGGGCTTGGGAGCACCACAAGATCCCGGATGGCGCTCTGAGAGAATGTCGGAGGTCCTGGGCTTCCGAGAGGGAAAGGACTAAGGGCTAAAGGGACCCCGAGGGGGTCTGAGAGTCTACCTAGGATTCCTTGGAGGTGGAGGCAGTAGCTCCCCGGATCTTCCCTTAGCCCAGCCTCAGACCAACTTCTGTCTAGGGATGGAGCTGGACCGGGTGTCGAGGAAAGAGGGCAGTTGTCAGGGTGAGGACTGGAGAGAAGCTCTCATTTTGACCCATCTTTGTCTGCAGAGTTATGTCCCCACCGTGTTTGAGAACTACACTGCAAGCTTCGAGATCGACAAGCGCCGCATTGAGCTCAACATGTGGGATACTTCAGGTAGCCCAGTCCCTCGGGGTCACCCTGACTGCCAAGGTCCCTTACCCTAGCCCCTCCCTTAGCTACATCCTTAGATTCCAGGCTAGCTCAGACATCCATCCAATTTTAGAACATCAATTTCTCTTTTGAGGCAGGGAAACTGAGGCAGAATTTCTTGTGCCGAACAGAAACCATGTTCTGAAGTAGAACGCCTAATATCTGAGCCTGGCAGCTCGGTTCTGCTTACCCAAGGAACTTGGGAAGAAAATGACTTATTTTGGAACATGTTTCTTGGGAAATGGGAACGGGTTTAGGAGAGCTATTTAGAATTTCGTGGTGGGGGGAGGGCAGTGGTGGAAAGTAGGTTTTTTTTTCCTTTTTTTTTTTTTTTTTGTAGACTGAAGTAGAGTCCCAGGAGGACAGGAACACTCTTCCCCTGCCTCTGCCCCAACCCCTTGGGAAGGGTTTTTATTTTTGCTAGACTCCCTGGAGGACTTTAGAGCATGTATGTCATCAAAGCCCAGAAAGCATGTACAAAATTTGTTAGAATATTGTAGCTCTTCTGAAATTCTTAAAGCGTTTCCATTCTCCAAAAGGTTACGAATTATTACTGTTAGATTAGAGAAACCCATAAGGGAGCGGAGAGCTATTTCCCACTCTTTCTGCTACCCTCTGCCAGTCTTAAGACGTGTTCCATGCTGAGTATTGAAGAACACTCTTCCATTCTCGGCTTGTCTGTCCACCGTCACTTCAGTCTGTCATGCCCTCCCAGGCCTCCCACCCACTCAGGTACCTTATCAGCTTTCTCTCTTTCTTCCTGCAGGTTCTTCTTACTATGACAACGTCCGGCCTCTGGCCTACCCAGACTCTGATGCTGTGCTCATCTGCTTTGACATTAGCCGGCCAGAGACCCTGGACAGTGTCCTCAAGAAGGTGGGAGCCTGGGCAAACAGGGAAACTGCTGAGGGCACTGGGCACGACCTGAGCCAGGAGAAGGGAATAATGCGTGTCCCTCAGCTGGTTGGTAGATAAAGCTGGCATCCCTCTACTCCATCCCTGTTCCTCCCACCCACAAATCAGTCCTCGGAGCTGGAAATGGCGTCTGGGGAGATGAGACTGGGGACTAGCTATCTGTCTTCCCTATCTCCTTGGCTGTGGAAACCTTGGATGGAAAGGTTGGGAATGCCTATCCTGGGACTTAGAAAAGCCCTGTGGCCTCCTGTCCAGGCCATTATTTCCATAAGAAAAGCCTCTGATGAAAACACCAGTCAGTCAGAGCATCCTTAGTTCCCAGGCAGGGGAGGGTGCGGTGGGTCTGTTCTCAGGACAGAGTATGGGAAAGGGTTCCAGGCTGACAGACAATCCCAGAGTCTGTTCACTGTCTCCTCATCTTCTACGCTGTTCTGGTCTCAACCCGAGAAGAGAGGCTCCAAGTGATTTCTGCACGCATGGAGCGAGGCTTTGCCCTGTATCTCCCTCCACTCCCCCATAACTCTTACTTTCCATCCCCAACTAGTGGCAAGGAGAGACTCAGGAGTTTTGCCCCAATGCCAAGGTGGTGCTGGTTGGCTGTAAACTGGACATGAGGACTGACCTGGCCACACTGAGGGAGCTATCCAAGCAGAGACTTATCCCTGTTACACATGAGCAGGTGAGCCCCATAACCTGCACTTAATCCCAGCCTTGACTTCACACCCAGGCCGGGTTTTAGTCTCTGTTTAAAGCCATCCTACGTGGCTCATCCTTTTGCCCTAACCTCTGACCCTAACCCTTGATTCTTCCCTAGCTCTGACCTTCAACCCTAGCCCACAGCCTTCATGCCCTTTTCTGCAGTACAGGCTAAGCCCTGTAATTTCCACCCATCCCCTTTTTTTCCAGGGCACTGTGCTGGCCAAGCAGGTGGGGGCCGTGTCATACGTTGAGTGTTCCTCCCGGTCTTCTGAACGCAGCGTCAGGGATGTCTTCCACGTGGCCACCGTGGCCTCTCTTGGCCGTGGCCA